AAAAAAAAAAAAAAAAAAAAGACACCGCAGCCTCCTCTGACACCCTGACTGCAGCCTGTGAGAGCTGCTAAGACAGAGGACCCAGCAGAGCTGAACCTGGGCTACTGAGATAATAAATGTGTGTCCTTTTAAGCTGCCAAGTGTTGGGGTGAGTGCTACACAGCAGTAGTAGATAACACAGACGTGTAGGTCATTTCTGATCTTCTGCTATGACAATATCACAGACAACAGTAATATTGCTTTTCTGTTTTCATACGTGCATTATATCTACAATCAGGAGAAAAGTATTTCTGTCTACATTCAAGCTTCAGCGAAGAAAAACTGGTCTTTTCCCTCCTGCAGTCCATTTTGCCCTCAGAGGATGGTATCTCTCTCACTTCTAGCTCAGGGAACTCAATAGCTACTGAACACCTACTGTGTGCCCATGATGCATCTCAGTAGCTTCCAGGCTCCAATGGAATACAGCTCCGTCCCCTGGTCTGTTAGTCCGATTTGCCCTGTTATGGCTTTTTTTTTTTTTTTGAGTTGGAGTCTAATTCTGTTACCCAGGCTGGAGTACACTGGTACACTCATGGCCACTGCAGGCTCGACGGCTGGGCTCAGGCAATCCTTCCACCTCAGCCTTCCAAGTAGCTGGAACTATAGGCATGCACCACCATGCCCAGCTAGTTTTGTGATTTATTGTAGAGATGAGGTCTGGCCAAGTTGCCCAGGCTGATTTCGGACCTGTGGGCTCAGGCAATCCTCTCACCTTGGCCTCCCAAAGTGCTGGGATTACAGACGTGAGCTATCTTTTTCGTTGTTGTTTTTTTTTGAGCTGGAGTCTCACTCCGTCGCCCAGACTGGAGTGCAGTAGCCGCTCCCGGCCACCGCAGCCTCGACCCGCTGGGCTCCGGCGATCCTTCCGCCTCAGCCTTCCAAGTAGCCGGAATTACAGGCATGCGCTACCACGCCCAGCTGATTTTTTGATTTATTGTAGAGATGATGTCTCGCTGCCCAGGCGGGTCTCGAACCCACGGGCTCAGGCAATCCACTCACCTCAGCCTCCCAAAGGCGCGGGATTACGGGCTGAGCCACCGAGCCCAGCTGACATGAGCTATCTTAACCCACATGGAAGGAGTGGAACTTCCTGTATTAAGCAGGTCTTACGTGCCAGGTGCTGTGGGCAGCACTGTTCAAGAGAGGTGGAGTGCCCTGACTAAAAGCACGGATGCTGGAGCCAACTTGCCTGGGTTCAAATCCCATTCACCAGCCACACAACTTTGGACAAACTACACAATCTCATCATTTTCAAATAGGGAGGTGTACTGGTCAGTGTTTGTGTCCCTCAAATTTCATGTTGAAACCTAATCCCCGGCGTGAGGGTGTCTGGGGGTGGGGCTTTTCCCTGGAGACCTTGGCCCTGTAACAAGTTTTTCAGCTGGGATTCCAGTTGTTGGTGAACATCAAGCTGTCGCGTCCCCCTGCAAACCTCCCGGAGGTGCTTTTCGGGTTAGATCCTTGAGGGCTGTTTCATCCTCCGCCTCGTGTTCGCCATGCTGGGTGTTACCTGACTCTAGAGAAAGGTAACTCAGGTAGCACCAGGCAGTGTTTTTCATGCCTCATCTGTGTGATGCCTGGGCTAAGGAGCCTGCCGTCACACATCTGACCAGCGGACAGTCTAGACCCAGGGCCCAGGTCTGTCTCCAGAACTCGCACGCTGACCTTCAATGGTATAGGCCTCCAAGAGTTTCCGCTAAGTCTACGCTTTCTCATTTGCACCCTCCTAGCACTTAGTACTCATCCAGATGGGATGTAACGTGATGTGAAGCAGACACAAAAAAGTCACTACTCCCGAGGAGTCTTTGATGTAATCTCCGTATCCTTATTCAATGGGCAAGAAGATCCTCCGTTTTAATTGCTTTCATCTCTCCACTCTCAGCCAGAGTGGCTATTTCCATAATCAATAATAAAAACTGCATCTTTCTTTTTTTCGAGTTGAAGTCTCACTCTGTTGCCCAGGCCGGAGTGCAGTGGCATGCTCACAGCTACTGCCGCCTCGACTTGCTGGGCTCAGGTGATCCTTCTACCTCGGCCTTCTCTTTTGGTTTTTTGGGGGTTTTTTTGGAGTCAAGTGTCTCACTCTGTCACCCAGACTGGAGTACAGTGGCCGCTCCCAGCCACCACAGCCTCGATCTGCTGGGCTCCGGCAATCCTTCCGCCTCAGTTTTCCAAGTAGCTGGAACTACAGGCGTGCTACCACGCCTGGCTAATTTTTTAATTTATTGTAGAGATGAGGTCTTGCCAAGTTGCCCAGGCGGGTCTCAAACCCGCAAGCTCAGGCAATCCACTCACCTCAGCCTCCCAAAGCGCTGGGATTACAGGCTGAGCCACTGAGCCTGGCCATTTTTGGTTTTTTTTTGAGTTGGAATCTCACTCTCGCCCAGACTAGAGTGCAATGGCACGCTCCCAGCCACGACAGCCTCAACCTGCTGGGCTCTGGCGATTCTTCCACCTCAGCCTTCCAAGTAGCCGGAACTACAGGCGCACGCTACCATGCCTGAACAATGCCTCAGCCTTCTAAGTAGCTAGAACTACAGGTGCGAGACACCACACCTGGCTAATTTTTTTTATTGTAGAGATGAGGTCTCACCAAGTTGCCCAGGCTGGTCTCGAATCCTCAGTCCTCTTGCCTCAGCCTCCCAAAGTGCTGGGGTTACAGGCTTGAGCCACTGCACCTGGCCAAACTGCATCTTTCTTACAGAATCTTCAGGCATAAGGGCCAGGTGCAGTGGTTCATGCCTGTAATCCTAACACTTTGGGAGGCCGAGGTGAAACGATTGCTTGAGGCCAGGAGTTCAAGACCAGCCTGGGCAACATAGTAAGACCTTGTCTCTACAAAAAATTTTTAAAGATTAGCCAGGTGTGGTGGTGTGTGCCTGTAGTCCCAGCTTCTCAGAAGGCTGAGGTGGGAGGATACCTTGAGCCCAGGAAGTTGAGGTTGCAGTGAGCTATGATCACACTACTGCACTCCAGGGTTGGTGACAGAGCAAGCCCGTTTCTAAAAAAAAAAAATAGAAGAATCCGCAAGCATGAGAAGTATTGTGGCCTTTTTGCCCTCTGAGCTTCTTTCCCTCCATAAAGAGGGAGATGCTTCCCCAGGTGGGTCTTGGCGGGAGGCAGGAGAAAGTACAGGCCAGGCTCCCCAGCACAGCCTCTCCCCAAGGTCCCATGAGAATTAAGTCCCACAAAAAGTGATTCAAGCAACTGCTTTCAAGTCGTCAAGAATGGTGTAAAGACTGTGCTTTCCAGGCACACAGGAGAGTACTTACCAACTGCCCCTAGAGATAGGGTCAACTATCCTTACAGTAGCCAATCTGAAACCCTGGCCCCAAGCTTTCCAGCTAGACCCACAGCCAGTGGTGAGAGGTGGCCACTTCAGTGGTGAGTCCAGCTGTGGCACCTGGAGAGTCAGCAGCCACACTGTCAAAACATGTTCACCTCTGACATCCATTAACACAGTAAAAATATTTATTTTGTAATCTTAAAAATCTGGTCCCACAAAAAGGCCAACGCTTTTTTCAGTTCATGGTCTTGACCTTTTGAAACAGGAATCTTTCAACTGAGAGGTAAGTCAATAAAAGGAATTTCAGAGGTGTGCTCAGATAAAGCAAATTCTCACAAACAGTCATCCAGGTGACCCTAAACATCCAGTCACCGAGCCCCTTCTGACTGTCATTCACAGTCCCCAAAGAAGAAAAGAAAGTAAGAGGCTATCTGCAGATAAGGCACTTCAGAAACCATCAATGGCAAAGCCAAGGCTGCCAGGTGCTAGCTGGAACCCTCCAGCTGAGAGCCGCCCACAAATAGGGGGCCTGACTCCACCTCCAGGACTACAGCCTCTGTCTTCCTCCCCCAACCTCTTCCATCTAGCCTCTAGCATGTGGCCAGATGCTTCCTCCCGCAACTTCTTCCATCTGGCCTCTAGCCTGGGCCCTGCACTGCCACCTGGTCTGGAGGACGTGGAAGCCAGGCAGCTGGGCAGGAGTGAGCACTGCTGCCTGCAATGCACAGCTGCCAACGCCGCGGAATGTTGGAGAGGCTGCACCATGGCATGCTACATGAGTGGTGGCTTTTGCAAAGATGACTAGCTAGTGCAGATCAGCACATTAGCAAAGCAAAATATTCACACATTGTCCAAAGCTGCTTAATCCTTCCAGTTTCCCTCCTGGCTGTCCAAGCTGCAGCCTACAGGCCTGCCAAGAGTCAGGAAGGAATCCCGCCTCTGGAAGGCAGACGAGACAGAAGCTACAGCCAGGGGGCCCCCCAGGCAGAACAGCAATCACGTGGCACCTACAAACCAGAGAAGGGCCCATCTGGATCCAGGCAGCAAATCCAACCCACTCTTTCGCTTTGGGGGCTGTGTTTAATATGGATCAGTGAGATGGAAGAAGTCAAGTCTCAGAGTCTCTCATGTTAAGAGGACACACAGGAAAAAGGGATCCCAGAGCTGTTCTTCTGTGTCCTGGTTGCACTTGAATCCCAGGAAACAGTGTGACAGGTGCCAATGTACTGCCCACCATTCCGTTTGTCAGGAGAGCCAGGCAAGGAGGAGACGGGTCATCTCCAGGCAGAGGCCAGCGGGCAGTGCTGCGTCCGTCCTCCTTCCTTTGACCCAGATCGGCAGCTCCTTCCAGAAGTTGTAGGAGAAAAAGTGCATGGCGCTCAGGTCAGAACTGGACCCAGCCAGTGCCTGGCTGAGTCTGGCTGGAAGCTGACCTGTGAAGGGAAGACAGGGAAGGTGGGGAGGTTCAGATGCTTGAAAATACAAAGCAGATAAGAGCTCTAAAAAGCCAGTTCCTACATGTTCTGGAGCAATGGTTAGCAAGCATTGGCTCAGAGACCAATGGTCCTCTGTGTGTTTAACAGTTAATGTAAACATTATTTATTTTATTTATTATTATTATTATTTTGAGTCAGAGTCTCACACTGTTACCCAGGCAGTAGCACGCTCATGGCCACCGCAGCCTCAACCTGCTGGGCTCCAGCGATCCTTCAGCCTCAGCCCTTCAAGTAGCTGGAACCACAGGCATGCGCCACCATGCCTGGTTAATTTTTTGATTTATTGTAGAGACGAGGTCTCACCATGTTGCTCAAGCTGGTCTCGAACCCCTGAGTTCAGGCAATCCTCTCACCTCCACCTCCCAAAGTGATGGGATTATAGGTGTGAGCCACTGCGCCCAGCAGGTAAACTATTTATAAAAGACTCTCTTCATGACCAGCTTGGGCAACTTGGTGAAGCCTCATATCTACAATAAATCAAAAAACAAATTAGCTGGGTGTGGTGGTGCGTGCCTGTGGTTCTAGCTACTTGGAAGGCTGAGGCGGAAGAATCACCTAAGCCCAGAAGGTCGAGGCTGTGGTGGCTGTGAGCATGCCACTGCACTCCAGTCTGGGCAACAGAGTGAGACTCCGACTCAAAAAAAAAAAAAAGAAAAAAAAGACTCTCAACTTAGAGTGCAGTGGTGCAATCCCCACTCACCACAGCCTTGACCTCCTGGGCTCAGGCAATTCTCTCACCTCAGCCTCTCAAGTTGCTGGGACTACAAGCATGTGCCACCTCGTCTGACTAATTTTTTTTTTTTGTAGAGACTGGTCTCACACTCCTAGGCTCAAGTGATCCTTCCACCTTGGCCTCCCAAAATGCAAGTATAATGCCTGTGTGTCTTGGTAAATATAGTTTTATCAGTACACAGCATGTCCATTTGTTTACATATTACCTGTGGCTGCTTTTGTGCTACAACAGCAGAACTGAGTAGCTGGAACAGAGACCACATGGGCCAACTAGTCTAAACTATTTGCTCTCTGGTCCCTTATAGAAAACATGCACTGACCCTGTCCTGGAACCTGTCCATATAAATAACGGTACAATAAGAACTTAGCGTCTTTCTACCCCGACCCCAAGTGAGGGCCTGGAGTCTTGTGGAGTCAAAGAAGGCAAGAAGGCTAGCTCCCTCATCTCAGAGGTCCCTCGAGCAGGGGCCAAAGCTAGAACTAGGTCTTAACTTTCAGCCCAGAGTTCTGGGGAAGCTGGGGGCGGGGGAAGGAGGGAGGTATTGGGGGCGGTTTAAAGGACCAGACAGGTTTGCAGAAGGTGGCCCCAGGCCACCTACCAGTGGACAGCAGGAGCCTTCAGAGAGAGGAATGCGCCACTCAAGCAGCACTCTTGGGTCCTGTCCTCTGGCTGTCCTGACACCTCCAAGTCATAGCTGTCGCTCCCATGCCAGGAGGCAGGCACACAGAGCGATCCCAGCGCTTGGAGTAACGGCCCTGGCCCCAGTCCCAACACGGAATACGGCCCACCTCACCCTGTGGATTTGGTGAAGTCTCCCCAGATGTCAGCGGTGGCAGCAGTGGTAGGCTTGGGCTGTGGCCAGGACCCGACAGCACCTCCTACTGATGTCCCCAAATCCGACAGGGAGGGAGAGAAGAGAAGGAGACAGGGGAGTCAGAGACCTCTCTTTTTCGTTGTGACCAAATCATGAGACTCAGCACTCAGCAATCAATCTCATGAAACCAAGTGGCCGAGAAAGACACAGAGGCAGGTTTTGTTTTGTTTTTTGAGTTGGAGTCTCACTCTATCACCCAGGCTGGAGGGCAGTGGCACGCTCCTGGCCACCACAGCCTCGATCTGCTGGGCTCAGGTGATCCTTCCACCTCAGCCTTCCAAGT